AAGCTGTGCCTGGCATCGTCTCGGTGCTCACCATTCCCCCCAGGGCGAGAAGCAGATAACGCCATATATCCTCAGCAGCAGCGTGTGTCGTGTAAAGCCCGAATGGCAACAACCGGTCACGTGCCGCTCTGACCTCTCGATCATCTGTGTACTCAGGTCCCCTTCTGGTCGCCCATGGGCCGTTTTCAGTGACCAGGGCCCTGCCGGCCGTTGAGGGGCCCCTCTGGCTACTCAAGAGTCTCCGGTGGATGGGCTCTGACCGCTTAGGGACTTAAGTGCCTACCCAGACCCCCCCCCCCACTCCCCCTCCCCCTCTATGGTCTCGAAGGGGAACCTGAGATCGCTCGTGGGCCATTCTGACCATTGAAGTGTTCGTAAGATTGCTGATGACTCACTGGTCGCTCGGCGAACCATTTGGTCGCCAGAGCACGTATCTATAACTTCACGACACTTTGGACACTTTTGGGGGATACAGACAAGCCCATTCTATCTCGCTTAAAGCCCGTCTGGCTGCGCGTGAGCCTTCCGACCGCTCAATGGCCGCCTGGAAGCCAGGGCTTTTAAGAATCACCCCAGGTTTTCGTGCTCCTTTGGTCATTTAAGAGCCTTTTAGCTGCTCCCGGAGCTTTCAGGCTACCGGGGGCCGCCCTGGCTACTGGAGAGTCTTCTGACCATTGCATTACCTCTGAGCTCGCAGGACTTATGGTCCGTTCAGGACCTTCACAATGTTTAGAATCCTTTATATCAGCATAATTACTTGCCTAATCGAGATCATTTTGGCTGCATAGGGCTCATTTCCCATCTCAAAGGCCACCTGGTTACCAAGCGGCACTCCAGTTTCTTTTAAAAGCGGTTCTATCGTTTGAGTGACCCAGTTAACGAGTCCTCGCCTGCATGAAAGTATGACGAAAGGCTGGGGCACTGGATTGGCCAGTAAACCCCGAATGCAGTCAGGTAGGGCTCTTGCTGGGACCCCATCGGAAACGTTAAGGATTGTCATTGACGATCAAATTCTGTTCTGAATAGCTGAATGGAATTTTGCGGTTGGCACTGTTGATATTCATGTATGATCTAAAACATTCGTACATCATCCGTGCGGAAAACACATTGGGTTGCAGCTTTATTTCGTAAAATTGAAAAACACCTTCACGCTACGGTTCAAAAACCGACACACTCATGAGTTCAACAAAAGTAGCAATTTTCGCACATTTGGCGCGTCCAAATGAACCAACGGAATGTTGATCTTCTGTATATGAAGGGTTATACAGACGCCTCTACGAGCGGCTATGGTTGGTTTGTGTCAAGTTGGTGGAAGCACATGCCAGTTGATTGATCAAACGGTAGAAAATCATTAAGCTTGAGCCTGGTATTGCTGGTACCTTCGGTTCGTCAGGACATGTAACAGTCTTCTTAAGTTGGGTCGCAATGACTTTTTCGCTCCAGTTGGCAAGAATATGAAAGAACTGGTATTTTCATTCTGCCAGTAATGTGATCCCACCTTTCCGTGATGCATCCTTCTTCCAGCAAGACCCCACAATCTCCCGCCCAGCATTGCGCACACGCCTCATTTACCTTAATCTGGACCCAACCCGGAACTCAACACACTAGTCCTTGCTTTCCAGGCAGCTTAGAAGCTCAGTTTAAACACATACATGTCAATTGCTGGTACGCGACGAAAGACGCTCACCGGGAAAAAATGTCGCGTCAGGCTTGGAGCGCGCCGAAGATGTGATGCAGAGTATAAGGATGTTTGGGCTAGGGCTCGAAGTGCATACGCGGTTTTCATAAGGAGACATAGGCTCGAGGAGACCCGCATGATGGACGTCGTCCGGACTCCTGCCTGCTACCGATTCGAATTCTGACATGCATTCAGTTGCCCTGGCTGTCCAGGCCCTCCGCCATTTGTTTTTGCGGTCGAAAAAGCAAATCCAGCCGTAGATCGGGCTTGGACGTGAGACCACGGCAAGCCCCGAGGATGGAAGAGCGCTGCATTTGAACTTGGACTATTCCGTAGTCATCTTGCCTACAGAAGTTTGATTGGTGACAAAAATTACACATTTACCCCACCGAAATTCCTTCCAAGATGTCGGGCGGCACACGTTATATGAACTGCACATGGAACCTATTGAATGAACGGTGCGATATAACTAAAATGATGCCATGGCTGACTACTGCTATGTTGACTGTTGGCTGACATGATTTTCATGACTGACATGACTTTCATTTTCATGACTCAATGCCGTCTGCCACCTATACAGTCAGTCGACATTTATAAAGCCATCGTTATGTAAATCCATAACTCCTTCCCGAGCTGACCAGACCGAGGTGGCAGTTCTTGTAAAGCAGTCGTCGGTGGTAAAGAAATGCAGAAAACCGTTGTATAGAAATCACGACGAATTACAAAACATCTGAGATAAGCGTTTTTTCCACATACCATAACCCATTCAGCTTTCCTCCGATGCAGCCTACTTTTATGCGGCTTAAAATATCCATAAAACGACCACCACCACGTGATGCAATTACCCCGTAGTAGCATAGCCTCTATCATTTGAAATGGGTTGGCCGTTTATGCATAAACCATCTACCAACAAAATAAAGACGTACTGTTTACAAATTTAGGAATACAGAGCTAAAAGCTTTAGCCGTTTGCAGCTATGACAATCTTAGCCCTATCCTCAATAGCTGTTACATGAGAGAGCTCTGAGTAACAACAGGTACAACTCCCCCTACTCACCCCCACAGATCGTCACGCGCTGCTGTCGGCCTGAGCGTAGATAAGCTCATATCCTTTACCTTTGATGAAGAACAGCCGCCCATGCGAAAAAGACCAGGCAAGGGTGGATGATAAGAGAGTGGTTCGGAGGGATATACATATATATATATATATATATATATATATATATATATTATATATATCTCTCTCTCTCTCTCTCTCTCTCTCTCTCTCTCCCCTCTCTCTCTCTCTCTCTCTCTCTCTCTCTATCCATTTATCTATCTTTCTATCACTGTCCTCATTTTTCAAGATCTCAGGCACGGGTGGATCTGGCCTGGAGTTTGAGGGGGGGGGGGGGGGCAGCCGTTTGTGGCCAGCTTGCTGGTGTGAGATCCGAGGTCCAGTGCATGGTGCCTCTCGCGAGTACCTAGTAGGGACACCTTTCAAACACCAAAATGCTTTTCAATCTTCTATATACAGTATGCATGTTTACAAAGCTCGTAACATAAGATATTACCTTCAAGAGTCATCTGGTCGGATGGGGTTGATTGCAAATGGTGATAAAAGACGGTAAGTACACGAAACTTCTATGAAGTCCTAGGAATGTTTTGGGGGCAAAACATACTCTTGGAGTTTTTTGGAGGGTCATGGCCCCATGCTCCCCCCCTCCCCTCCCCCCCCCCAGGATCCGCCCATGATTTCAGGAAGCACCACTGCAAATTGTAATTGCTACGCATGCTGCGGTTCTCCACCGGAGCAATCATGTTCGGAAGTCATGGTCACTTATGACGATGAGCACGGCTGGAAAAGCCCAGTGATTTCAAAATGGACACCGCCGATTGTTTAACATCAAGTAAAGATATCAAAGAAGATTACCCTTTGTTTTTCCGTAAACTCCATCAAGAAACCATAACAGCTGCATAACGCATTTGCAAATGCTTACGCACAGCAATGCAATCTTCAAAACCGGTTGGGGTGACAGCCAACAAAGTTGATCAAACCTGTCCCCAATTCCTGATTTCTCCCGGATTTCTGCCACTTTGATTTCAACCCCTGATATCAGAAATAAATATAATGTAAAATGTTGGCCGGTTCCAAAATTATCTTGACGTTGAGGAATGGCTTTAAAAAATGTAAGATTGATCAAAAAATCAAAGATGGATCAAAGATGAGAGAAAGATCATAAGATCAAAGATTGTACAAAAGGTAGGTCATACAGCTGTTCCATGACACAGTTAAATAATGTCGTATTATTGAGGAGCTTATTTACTAAATAGAGAAATGATGTTCTGTAAACCAGTTTTTTCACTTAAAGCGCATCATACCGGTAACAATCATACTGTTATTCGTCGTAGGGTTGGGATTAATGATGAATTGAGATCGTTGGGGGTAAAACGGCATCATGGTGCCGAAAGGTACGGTAAAAGCTGTTTACGAGTGTGCTTGCTGATGTGTGACGCGACGTATTGCCATGGAAGCCTCATATTAGGTTATGAAGTACGTGCTGGAATATGTTATTATGGCCCTCACCAAAATTTTCAGTTAAAATCATTTGTTGCCTCAAGCGCTGCGTGAAAATGCATATGTTTCTTGCCAACTTTGTCCACCACGTTGGTATGTTTTACCATTCCTCATGACGTTCGCGCCACCGCGACATCCTTGGCTGGAAGCCACTAATTTTTGCAGCACATGAGCAAAAAGAGAACGTTGAGCCAATATAATCCAGCAACTGTCCGGACTGCTGGTACCGAATGTACCTATGCTATCGCTATATATCGCTATATATAAAGTATGCGCATCGCTATCAATATCATTATCATCATGTACATCATTGATATCACATCAGTTTCAAATGGGAAGTCATTCCTCAACATCGAGATAATTTTGGAACCGGCCAACATTTTGCATGATATTTATTTTTGATATTAGGGGTTGAAACCAAAGTGGCCGAAATCCGGGGAAATCAGGACTTGGGGACAGGTTTGATCGACTTTGTTGGCTGTCACTCGAACCGATTTTGAAAATCGCATTGCTGTGCATAAGCATTTGCAATTGTGTTATGTAACTGTTGTTGTTTCTTAATGGAGCTTACGGAAAAACAATGGGTAATCTCAGCAACAACTGCATACCATGCAGGTACCTACCAAACCATGCTTCGGCTTCACCGAAATTTTGGCAGCCCAGTAAACAGACGCTCAGTAATCGTGGCATTAGTTTAAATAATACAACATATCGCCTTTGCTGCGCCAGTTCTAGTTGCCTCAACTTTTCGTCGCTCATGCTGCGTCGATTCGCACGTTGCTGCGCTTATATCGGATTGCCCTATCGGTTCGTGCGGATTTCGCAAAAGCCGCCGTTGTTCGGTGATAGTAAAGTTCTTTTAAAGACTGGTAAAAGTTCAAGTGAAATCTTGGCGTGGATTACGTTCAGGGCTGCTCGCATTGAAACGACTGGTTCCGCGGCAACTGGAAATACAAATTGGAGTTGCTTATTTATAAACGCATTCCGGTGAATCATTTAAGTCATGCCGAAGAATAAGGGTGAGTGGAGGCGAGTGCATCTGTTCAAGTATTTCCTGAATGAGAGCAATAGCCATAGGTTTTCTGACACCTGGTTAAGGTTTGTAGGTAATGGCTTAAGGTATGGCATGGCATGTTTGTTAGGGTTTTGCTGTGCCTCTTATTTCTGAAAATGGCCTGTGTCAACCAAGTTTAGCATTCAAACCACATAACATTGTTACCAGTAGATTAAGTGCACATGAAGTCATCTGACATTAGAATTGGCAACACTGGTGATGCCTCTGCCATGATGAGGAAATAACTGCTGTAGCTACATACTTGTAGCAAGCATAAAGCATTCCGAGTGCTGGGATGCCTGAACAACCAAAAGTAATTGTGGTTGTGGCACATGTTGTTGAAGTTAGTGCGTATTAAGGGAAGTTGTTTGTTATATTTGCATATGTATTGGTCCTGTTGCTTAGAGCAATTTATCTCAAATGGCTTGTATGGGTGGCTTTAAATTCATGGAGCTTGCTAGGTAGAAATGGTACACTGTGTGCACTGAATATTTGACTCTAAGGCCAGCAGTGGGGCTCCAGTTTATTGGATAATTTTGTCTGCAAGCTAACCCGACATGAGTAGAGGGTTTTACATCCTGCACATTCTGGTGATATGGCTACATTATGCTTTTAAGGCATTCTTTGTCTGGTGTGCAGCTGATCTTCATTTCCTTTGTGACTTAATGCTGTGCTTGCTCAGGGACTGGAGCCCAGTGTTGCTGGATGGAAATTCCTTTGCTTTTTCCTTGACCTAATAGGTAACCTTCATGTAAAAATGTGTTCTTTGTGGGTTGACCATATGTAACTAACTTATGACTGCATTATGTGGTAATGCATGTTAAAATGTATCACTTGCAGGGTGAACACCTGTTAAAATGCACTCATTATGGAGCAAATAAATGTTAATGTGTGCTCCTTTTAGTATGACTGCATGTTAATATGCACTCCTTATGCTGTGTAAAGTGAGCAAAGCCTTGTTTGTTGTTCTGAGTGAGCTTCTGTCATTGCAGGAAAGGGAGGAAAGAACAGGAGAAGAGGAAAGAATGAAAATGATGCAGACAAAAGAGAGCTGATCTTTAAAGAGGATGGCCAGGGTATATCCTTTTTTCTGAATAAATTTAATTATGTTTGTGTGCCCATCTGCTAATGGTGGTGTGTTAGTTGGTCACCAAATATTTTCCTTTGCCACTTGCTCAATGAAAATTTGATTGTAAAATTGTCATTGCAAATGTATGAGGAAGTGCAATTATCCAAGGAACCCACAATGAACAGGGCCTGTCACAGTGGGAGGTCACACCATGTTTCTATGCCAGATGCAGAAGGGCAGGCAGCACTGTCACCATTTCTCTGCCTGGCTGTACCATTGCCCTGTTTCAGAGTACGCCCAGGTGGCCAAAATGCTGGGCAACGGCCGGCTGGAGGCCATGTGCTTCGACGGCGTGAAGCGACTGTGCCACATTCGCGGCAAGCTGCGGAAGAAGGTGTGGATCAACCAGGGCGACATCGTGCTGGTGGGGCTGCGCGAGTTCCAGGACCAGAAGGCCGACGTCATCCTCAAGTACAACGATGACGAGGCGCGCAACCTGAAGACGTACGGCGAGATCCCCGACTCGGTGCAGATTACCGAGGCCGGCACCTTCGTCGGCGACGGCATGGACGACGACATCCAGTTCAACGACGTCGCCGGCGATGAATCAGGCTCGGACGACGACATTGACTATGTGAGTCGCGAAGCATGGTTCCCAGGTGCGCACACCTCGGGTCTTCACACACGCTTGTTTGTCATTCGTCCAATGCCATTCACCCAACGCCACTCAGCCAATGCCCACTCACCCAAAGCTGCTCACTCAATGCTACCCACCCGAAGCCACTCGCCCAACGCCCACTCACCCAATGTCACTCACCTAATGCCCACTCACCCAAAGCCACTCACTCAATACTACTCACCCAATGCCACCTACCCAACTCTGCATACCCAATGCCACTCACCTAACGCCACTCGCCCAACGCCACTCACCCAACGCACACTCACCCAAAGCCACTCACCCAATGCCGCTCGCCCAAAGCCGCTCACTCAACGCCACTCGCCCAACGCCCACTCGCCCAAACCCACTCACTCAATGCTGTTCAGCCAACACCACTCACCCAACAACACTCACCCCAGGGCCACTCATCCAAGGCCACTCACCCAACGCCACTCACCCAACGTCACTCTCCTATTGTCACTTGTCCACCGTTACACGATCACCTCCTCTTGTCCACCGCTGTTAACCCATCGCCGCTCACTTAGCGCTACCTGCCGCCACCATTCGCCTCCCACGAATGTGTGCGTGCTGGGTCTGTGGCTCCAGGTTGCACGCGCGCTGCACAAACACGCACAAGTGATGTTGTGCCTGCTCGTGTACTCCAGAAGTGGTTGGGAAGAGGGGACTATACTTTGCACTCGTCCACCCATGCCATGTGGGATGCGCTTTAGCAGTATGCGAAAATCAGTCAAGCCTTTGCAGCCCAAAGTTTTAGGCTGTCAGAAGATGCAATTTCTGTGCCTATGCATGAAAGCCTTTTTGTTGTCAGGAGTTAGTTGAACCTTGTGCTGCAAGCTTTTTAAGATGCAGTGGAATAATAAGGCTCAATCACAATGGGGTGAGGTTGTCTACATTTGGGTGTTATGGTGTCTTGTCTTACCCTTGCCCTGATAAGGCTGGGGGGCGGGGATGCGACCCAACCCGTAATGTTTTTTGAGGATACGTCTCCGGCATGCCGTGCAACTGCGCCCATATTTTCAGTAGTCTATGTGGCATCCATTGCGCGTGTTTTGACATCGAAACACATCCCCAGCGTTTCTGGTTTCGGTGCAGCAGCGGTTTTCGAGGAACACTGCGCGACGATCCACGGTCGGCGCGGCGGCCCGATTTGATCACAGTAACGGAGCCCTACGTCATAAAGATGTGTTAAAAACGAGAAATTATTCACAGTGGCACTCAGAATTGAACAAAGAACACGGCTCTTTAAGTGTTGTGTCGCTACGAGACACTGTTTCTGTGCATGAGGTTGCAAAGCTGAAAAGTGCGATTTAGGGGATTTGGCTATTTTGGTCACTCAAGTCGTGACATTTTTATGTCAGATATTAACATATTAGTTTGATAATCCGGGATTCAGCCTCAGATTAGCCCATTAAGGCTGGCTTAATGTGAACCAAGATGACCCACGTTTGCAAATGGAGGCATTAAGAATGAGGAATGATACGTGTGAAGTCTGGTAGGACAGTAGTAACAGCTTTATTCCTCGGAGAAAGCAGGAGAATGGAGATAAAGATGTATTCATACGTCGGCAACATGCCTTTATCGAAACCGATAGCAGAAGAACTCTTTCCCTTCTGCTGTTCGTTTCGATGAAGACACGTTGCCGAAATATCAGTGCATCTATAACTCTATTCCCCGTTTTTCCTAGGAACAAGGCTATTACTACTGTCTTTTCTACGTGCATCATGTTCCCCGCAAATGGACTGAACAACTTACGTTATGTGAAGCCTGATCTTCCATCTCACAAAATATGGTAGCTGACACTTCCAGTATACCTTCATCGCCACACTGATGACTGTCAGTCGAGGCCGAGGGCATGGCGGGTCATGGATCATCACCTTAGCCGCTGTGATGTTACTTACTGGAGTGGAAAGTGTTTTCTTTTAAATGGAACCAGTGCTGCTTTGCGGATATGAAAAGCTGCGCGGACACCCCGAAAACGTGTTTTGACGTCGTTTTACTCGGTCTGATCAGTCAGCCGTAGGACGTAGCTTATGGCGGCCAGAAAGTCGCCTGGTTTCCAGGATGTCTTACCAGAAACCGGTTACTGGCTTCTGGTTCCAAAACCAGCAGTAACTTAGGACCCAGTCCGGAAGTAGATCGGTGGGGTTGGCAGGAACCAGGATCCAGCCCCAGGTAAAGCCAAAAGATCCAGCCAATACTTACATCCAGCCTGGGAATACGCTGAGAGGCCAGGAAGAACCAGGGTCCGGTTTGCTGCCATGCCAAAAGAATCAGCAAAAACCCGGATCGAGCGTGGCGTATGTTGAAAGATCGAGCCTAGCATTATGTCGAAAGATCCAGCAAGAACCAGAATCTAGCTTGTGGCACGCACATGCTCAGCAAGAACCAAAATCTAGCGTGGGGCATGCAGAGGCCCAACAAGAATCAAAATCTAGGGTGGGGCATGCAGAGGCCCAACAAGAATCAAAATCTAGGGTGGGGGATGCAGAGGCTGAGCATGAACGAAAAGGCAGCTCAGGATTAAGCTCAGATCCAGCTGAAAACCTTTTTCAGCCTTGATTTCCCAGGTTCAGCAAGGTGGGCCCCGGGGATCTTTCCCAAGGGATGGTGGCTTACTGTAGGCCCCAAATATGCAAAGAAAGGTTTTTCTCCTCAAATTTGTCCCACTTTCTTCTGGGAGTGGGAAGGGCTCGGGCCATCCAATAACATGAAACTACATTACGCTGTTGTATATAGTTGATGATGAAAGTGCATGGAAACAATGTGATGGAACCATTTCAGAAAGCTGTCTCAAATCTCGTTATTTCTTCTGCAACGCTTCTACCATGTGATCTTGCCACGGCCTGTACAATTTACATAGCCTAGAAAATGGAAGATGGGAAATCCATTCCTGCTGTAACGTTGCCATTTGATTTTCCTGCATGCATGCAGTCGTCTATCTATGGTCCCAACATCCATTTCTGTCCCTCGCAGCATGAGCTTTCGTCCAGTGTTAGTAAGTGAAATCCCCCTGGATAAAAAATTGCTGTTGGGGTGCCGGTAGTGTATTGGTTAACGCGTTTGCGATAGCCACTGCACGTCTGGGAATCCCGAGGTACGGGGTTCGATTCCCCGCGGTGCCCGCCCTTCCTGCCAGGGTGAGAAGCAGGCGACGCTAGATAGCCTCAGCAGCTGAGTGCGTCGTAAAGCCCCAATGACATGACAAAAAAAATTGCTGTTTTACTAACAGTAACCACGGATTGACTAAAACTATGCTCCTTTGGTACACAGTAGTCCTCCCAACAAGTCTTACCGGCGACTTGCTCCTTTCCATCCCAAGCATTCTCTCTGCAGCTCCAAACACAGGTGATCGCCAGCTTTCATGGCTTTATGTTAACAACACTCACCAATTGTTTACTCGAGTGCTCTTCTCACGCCACCCGTTGCTAGTCCCTGTGACCGGACCCGAAGTTTAACGCGGAGAGCTCTATAATCTAAGGTCCGTGGGCCGCCGCCTCATGTTACCAACCACAGCTCATCGCTCACAAACATGACAAGACTGAATGTGCGCGCAAGGCATTCGAACATGCCGCCACAATTCCATGTGCGCCTTCCTCTCTGAGAGTCTTAAGTGTGACCAGACCGAAGGCGAGGAAAGCTCCTTGGGAACCATAGCGTGTGCAGCGGCGTCACTGACGAAAGGTGTCAGGCCGTCGGCAAAAGTGTGACGCAGGCAGAGGTGCGGTTCACAGACTGGGATTGGAAGGCGTCGCCAAAACGTCCGTGATTTGACCATTGCCGGTCATGCCAGCGTAGCCTAAAAGCAAGGAGAGAGGGGGCGCGTGCGGGACGGAAGTGCACGATCAACATGTGCTTGAGATAGAAATGACTGCTGTGTTTCTGGAGTGGAATTCTGCCCTAGCGTGATATCTGTTTTCAGATATAGGCACACATGCGGTCGGTTGTTATGCCTGAGATCAGCACTGGGAGCCCCGGCTGACTCAGCCTGCCGACGTGTCGCCGTCGACCGGGGCTGATCTGGCTGGCGGTGATCCAGAGCGACGGCTGGGACTGCGGACGTGCCGCCGTCGACCAGAGCTGACCTGGCTGGCAGTGATCCAGAGCGACGGCCGGAGCTGCGGACGTGCCGCCGTCGACCAGAGCTGACCTGACTGGCAGTGGTCCAGAGCGACGGCCGGAGCTGCGGACGTGCCGCTGTCGACCGGAGCTGACCTGGCTGGCGCTGGTCCAGAACAACGGCCGGGCGCGCTCATCACGCATCACACGTCCTCTGGAGCGAGGACTGAGCGCCATGTACTGCAGCGTCGAGGCGGCCTTTATCGAGGAGACGCTCATCAACAACAGCGCATTGGCCCACTGGTGACGACATTCATCAGCTGCTTTTGGAGGCTGCCGTTTGCACCTGTTTGCGCGTGCCTAATCTCTTGAAATGCTGGTTTAATTCTTGGCGGAGACCGGTGCTAAGATATTGTTTCAGATTTAGGCCTCATCAAGATTCCATATGTGTAGATTCAGAGCGCGTTATTCACCAACTTCGTCTTTACCAATACAGTTACGTGGACCTTGTCACCGTTTGTGTAGTACTGATACTTTCCTACCGAGAGGCGTACAGAAAATGAATACTGAAACGCGCCATGCTTATTTGATTTAAATCAAAGGTTTTTTCTTACCACGTACCGTTCAAAATTTTAAAGAGCTGACTACGTGCTTGCCACAGATTTAAAGTACTGATACAGCACACAGCGGTTGTGCGGCCCAGATGCATATCCCGTGTCTGCCAGTGTCACTGCGCGTATAGAGTGTGCTGGACCAAGACCTGTGAGTTCATCGGCACCGGTTTAGAGTCCATTGGCGCCGGTTTAGAGTCTATTGGAGCCGGTTTAGAGTCCATCGGCGCCGGTTTTAAGTCCATCGGCGCCGGTTTAGAGTCCATCGGCGTCGGTTTAGAGCCCATCGGCGTCGGTTTAGAGTCCATCGGCGCCGGTTTAGAGTCCATCGGCGCCGGTTTAGTCCATCGGCGCCGGTTTAGAGTCCATCGGTGCAGATTTCGAGTCCAACGGCGCCGGTTTAAAGCCCATCGGCGCCGGTTTAGAGTCCATCGGCGCCGGTTTGGAGTCCACCGGCGCCGGCAGGGTCGCACGTTACGCTGCAGCGAGCACATGGTTCCGCTCACTGGTGGGAGCATGGCCGCCACCCGCCATGGCGTTCGATCCCTGGGGTCGGCGGCCGTCAGGGGTGACCATGGCATCAGCCGGCGACCGCGGTCGTTTTGGGCCGGGCACCCCCGTGTCGCCATTGCGCCGGGGTAGTGCGGCCGAAGTTGACCGGTCAGTGGTTGACAGAGAGAACTTGGCGCTGTCGAAGTTCATCTTGGGGAATTGATTCAGGCCCCATGATAATGCTGTTGAACAGGTGGTGGATTGCATCAAGGTTTGACCATTGGTGTTAGGGCGTTGACACGTTTTCGCGTTATCGTGCAGCCCTCGCTGAATACCGGCCAATTAACGTTGGCGTCAGTCACCCACCTAAGCGCACTGGGCTTGCCGAATAGGCAGAGCGGGTCAGATGTTCAGGTTCGGACCACGAACCAGCGAGCAGCGGTTGTGTGTGTGGAAGGCCTCAACACCCGCAATCCACACGTTCCCCGGCGGCCTCCAGTGGAGACTGCCGGGAACCATGATTTTGATAGCATGAGTTGGAGTTACGCCCTGCACACCCAGCCAGATGAATTATGGAACACTGAGGTGGTGTCCCGCCCATGAAATGTAGCACTCTGGATCCGTGGAATGTGTAAAACTCATTGCTGCGAGTGGTTTGTACGGCTGCGTTCATATTTAAGAGCGGATCTGCACATGCAAACGCTCCCTTGCGAATGAGGTTAGCGTGCCGGTGACAGCAGGGTATAGTATGTAGTTTGGTCGACGCTTAAAGTAACGAGAACATGTTAAAAGCATACGAGAAAAGTCTTTAAAATCCCTCAACATATTTCATTGCGCTGACTTACGTCGCACGGTGCGGACGGAAGGACTCTTCTGTACCGCTCCCTCGTTCGTTCCAGACTTGACTGTGGCTGTTTTATCTACGATGATGCATCAGACTCAAACAAGCCCACACCAAATACGGTTCACTGCTCCGTATCGCTACAGGGCTTTTCCGTACATCGTTCATTGAAACTCGCCTGTTGGAGGCTGACGAGTCCCCAATAGCAATGTGCAGGCAAATCCTGGGTCTAGCCCGTCCGTGCAGGGTGTCGCAGTTCCCAGATCATTCGACCCGCCAAGCGGTGCTTTCGCGTAGCATACTAAGCCTCTTTCAACAGAGACGTTCACGACAAGCTGCTCCTTTTTGCATATGAGCTCGGGAGCTTTTGGACGACAGCATCTCGAATTTAAGGCGTGTCGTCAATGCCTAGCCTGTTGTGAACTCCTTGGGAGCTTACGTAGGTGAGAGTTGATATATCGTTGACAAACACACAAAAGCAAGATGCACTTTCGACTGAATTTAAGAGTGGTGCAAGGGGACACGTGGCTTCCTTTCACGGATATACGAGAGCTTCACGGATGGTTTCAGAACAGATGCAAGCGTAGGTGTGGCTTCATGTGCGGCCCCGTAATCCGCTCATTCACGCCGCCTGCCCATACATCCGTCAACACATCCCAACTGATAGCGATCGTCAAAGCTCTGTTTTATGGAGGTGGACGGCAGTTATTTACATTCGACACTCTTCGACTCATTGAGCAGTATTTTGGCTGTCTGTGGGTCGTATCTTTTTAACCCGCTTGTTCAAGATATTCCCTCGCGTCTTACCTCACTGGGTGGGCAGGAAAAAGGAACTGTGTTTGGTCCCGCATGTGGATATTTCTGGAAACGATCTCGCCGATGCAGCAGCCAAGGGTGCTACGCAAGGGACGCGCTTACGCGTCACACGACTGCCTGCTAAGAACTTGTACCCAGTATGCCTCCTTCATGCGAAACCTATGGCAGTACTGCTTGAATTCGCACAGCAATAATCTGAAGGTCGTCAAGCCTCGTATTGGACCGTGACAGTCGTTTTGACGCAAAAAAGGATGAAGTCGCTGTTTGCCGCCTATGCATAGGACACGCTCATGCCACCCACCGTCACCTGCTGTTTGCTGATGATAGCCTCAGCTGCCTTCGATGCGGCGACCCGCTTACAATGCATCACGTGTTGATCACCTGTCCTAGCCTAGCTGAATCACGGGTGCGGTTTTTGGACGGAACGCTCCAAATTTTACTCTGGCCGACATCTTAGGTAATGAATCTGACGCTGTGGAAACTCAAACGTTTTCAGTTTTTCTTTACTGTTAGTTTTGCTGCGCCTTTTCAGCAGTACTCCATGTTTGACTGTCTGTTAGGTTCATTGCTGTTGCGTGACCATATGCTTATCTTGAAGACATTAACAAGCCGTCTAAATCGCCATTCTGCTGCATAATACGATAGGTACTGACCCTGCATGACCTTTGCAGTCGATTTGTCCTAAAACTCCAAACCGGCACCGAGGAACACGCGCATGTGCTGTTGTGGTGCCGCCGGGTCATGTCTTGTAAACGCCGCACGTGACTGATATGCATTCTCAGGTTCACTGGTGAATGCGTTTGGTAGCTGATGAACGAGTTTGGGACATGTGTCAGCTAATCGGAGAGGTGACTAGGGTACGAAGGCGGCGTGTCAGTTAGTCGGAAGGGTGACTAGCGTACGTAAGCGGTGTGCCAACTGGTCTGAGGGTTGAACAGCGTACGTAGGCCGTGTGTCAGCCGGTCTGGGGGGTGACTAGCGCACGTGAGCGGTGTGTCAGCTGGTCCGAGGGGTGACTAGCGCACGTAAGCAATGTGCCAGCTGGTTTGGGGGGTGGCTAGCGTACGTGAGCGGTGTGTCAGCTGGTCTGGCGGGTGACTAGCGTACGTAGGCCGTGTGTCGGCTGGTCTGACAGGTAACAAGCGTACGTAGGCCGTGTATCAGCTGGTCTGGGGGTGCCTAGCGTACGTGAGCGGTGTGTCAGCTGATCTGAGGGGAGCACCGAGCGCACCCTAAGCCCGGCTCTTGGTCTGGAAGTTGAAAATTGACTGAGAGACTGCCCTTCAGTCATTCGGCCACATTCAATGGAAAACAGACAAAGGAATCACGAAAGTTATTCACATTTATCAATAGCATGGCCCTGACCTGACCTGACTAGAGTCCAGAAACTGATGACTTTGGCCCCCAGAAGTGATGGAGATGGCATATCGCGGTTCACTGTGCCCCGCGGCGCTTTAGAGCGCTGTGTGTCCGTCAGCTCGTTCATCGTGACGTCACCTCCCGCCCCCCATTGTGGCCGCCCCCCCCCCCCCACTCATGGCGCATGCCTGTGTGTCAGTAGAGTTTTACGGTGTACTTACAGCTGAGGCTACATGGTGTCGCCTGCCTCTCAGGCTGCAGGCACGGTCGGCGCCAGTGCGAATTTAACGTCGGACTGTTTGCGCGAAGTTTCGACGAACTTCGGACCGTCCAATTTCAATGCAAGGTAGCAAAGCAAAACTCTAGATGTGGTAGGTGATCATAAGGAACATGGTCTGATATATGAGCGAAGCACTGGTGAAAATTTCGGCTTGTCGAATTTTACGCAACTTAAAAGCAAAACTTGCGCATTTCGCCGATCCTGCTGTCATGCGGACAGTTTCATACGCTTCCTTTTTCAGTGTTTGTTTTCTTTTTGCTGCCAGAGCCAAGCGATCTTCCTCAGAACGAAGGTGAGACCCCAGCCTACAGAATGAGGTTGGTTAGAGTATGGAGATGCTCGGTGCTTTTGTACCGGCTCCTTGTTCAAAAAGGGCTGTCGTGTAATACACGTACCACCTTCCACAATGCTCGTCTGTCTGTATACCTGTATGTCTCCACCGTCTCCTCCCCCTCCCCTACCCGGAAAAAAAACACAGAAACAATTGCTGAGAGAGTGCCGTGAAAGTAATCAGCTGCATTCCACCACATCAAAATACGACGTTAGCAGTATGGCATTGCATTGAAAAAATCAAATGACAAATCTCGTTCGCGTCTTACCCTCATCAGAGGATTCGTCGTCATTGGAAGCCACGTGACCGAAAGGCCAACAGATCCCTGGACAATAAGATAGGCCCAGCTAGTAACTGGATATCATTTGCGGGGGTCACGTTCGTCGTCGCAGAGTTTTGCGTTGCCCCGCCAGCTGGGCTCGACGCATTTTTCGCGGTCTGCGTTATTTTGCTTGCAGTCGCAAACGTATATGAAATTGAGCTAATCAAAATGAAATCCAGCAAAACTGACACAAGCATGAAAAGCACTTGTTGGTCATATCCTTGTCCTAATTTCGGCAAATATCTACATCAATCAAATGCCACCTGATGGAAGTTGAAACCTGTCTGGTGTTTTTTTTAAAAAGGCTCCACGCTCATTTTTATTTTTCTCTTTCTTTTT